GTGTGCTTGTGTGTGTGGTGTATGTGGGAAACATGTTATGAGGAGAAGAAAAGCATTCACTCAAAAACACACACAAGCCAATGCTTGGATATTTACTGAATTAAAATAAGTTCCAAAAAATGAAATGACCCTTCCTCCACCAAAAGGTTGTTGGTTATGTTTTTTTGTGGCCAATGGGTCTTCAAGGGGTGCATTGAACAGCAACATTGTTTGAACAGGCAGTTGCAACAGCAATCTCACGACTGGCTTTCCCTTGATTTCCACCAGCCCCCCTAGCTGCAGTTTTTTCCATTGAATCAAAATCTGTCCTGACCAATTTTGGCCAAGGAATCTGCCACCACAAAGGGGATTGTTGCAGATTATGCCCTTTTCACAAGGGATTGGTTGCGGCAAGCACACACAGCTCCTTTCAGCAAGGAGATGCAACTTTGCCCTTTTGACAAGGGGATGAAAGCTAGCACCCAGCCCCTTTGGGCAAGGGTTCTTCTATTCACTGTGGAATCCCCCTTGTAAACAGCAGCTGGCAAACCCTTTGTTCAAGGGCCAAGGCTTCACCCTTTGGGCAAGGGTCTTTCCACTTTTGTGCATCATGTGCACACCTCCTCCCTGAGCTGGATGGCCTCATTTTTTGTCAGGTGGTTTTCTCTAAGCTTGGCAAGAATTGCATCAATGTGTGCACTGTAGGAGGCTGATCTTTTCATTGAGATCTCCACAATCAACCTGTTTTTCTCCCCCGGCTCTTGGCTTCCAGTGATGTAAGCTCTCTCTGGGTTCTTGGCATTCACTTTGCTCAATTTCAGCCAAGGTTTTCTTGCAACTGGGTTTGTAGAGTTGTGCTTTTCTGATGTTGCTTCAGCCCTTTTGACAAGGGCAGCTGGCTTCTTCATAACAATACACAGCTGTTCTTTCAAGCTAGCCGTTGGCTCTGGCGTTTTTTGGCCCAGCCTTCTCCTCATGAAGCTTGGCTTGCAGAGGGCACTGGCACTGCTTGGCACTTGTCCTTTTGGCAAGGAAGGCATTGCCTGGCTGTGGCTTGAACTAGCTTCCTCACTGGGGAGTGAATCTCCCTTCTCAGGGCAGCCCCCTTTAGACAAGGGGCTTGTGGTTGGCTGAGCTTTGAGTGGGCTGGTAAAGCAAGCTGGGAAGCCTTGGCTGTCCAGGGAAACATCACTCACCAGTGGCTTGAGTTTTCTTTGTTTGTTCTCCATTTCCTCAAGGGGTGGCCCTTCCCTTTTTCCAAGGGGTGGCTCCTCCCTTTTTTCAAGGGGCTTTGCAGGCAGAACTGGTTGGTCATTGCTTTTCTTCTCAATCATGTTGACAACCTCCTGCAACTTGAGGTACTCAACACTGGTCAACTTAGAAGCACAGAGTCTCATGCTTTCTGGAGATTTGAGCCGCCGAAAATGGGCCAAAATAACATTCAGCCTTTCCAGCTTGAGGCCAAGCTCCATGGCCATGGCGGGCAAGGTCGCCTTTGTGGGGGGCGGCCCCAACTGCAGAACGTGGAGCATTCTCAGATGGTTCCCCAAACCGGGAGGCCCGCCGCCGGTGAGGTGAGGCGGAGCAGAGTTTGTGGGGCTTGGAGGACCTGGAGCCCCGGGTAATGGAGGACACGGACAACGACAGCGTGCTCATGCTCCGACAGATGTACCTGACCTCGCTGGCCTACCAAGGACTAGGTCAACTAACGGTCCCGCAGGTGGGCTCCTCCTTCCTGGAGCACCCAATGGACCCAATGGAGTGCAGCAAGAGCCCGAGCGCAGCGAGGTGCTCATCGATCTGGGTGACACGGGCCTACATTCAATGGGCGAACGCACTCCACCACTCCCTCATCAAGTTTGACGAGTGCCGCCTGGGCCAGGTGGTAGTGAAGTCCACGACATTGTCCTTCACCATTGGCATGATCTGCGATGCAACCACGGAGCTCACCCCAGGGGGGAAAAGCTCAACTCCAGTGACCTCAGCCGGTACCGAGAGCAGATGATGCAGGGTCTCGCGGCGGCCATCCTCTGCAGAGCGGGACCCGTCCTGGAGGCGCTGAAGCCGGGGGGCACGGTGCCCCAAAAGTGAACCCAACGACCCCCCCGAGGCGGCAGAGGGAACCATCTCCCAGCACGCCGGGGGACAACAAGCGCCAGTCCCTGAGGCTGAAGGCCGGCCAACAAGCGTTGGCAGGACTAACCCTGGGCTCACTTCCGGTCTCGGCCTCAGACAGTCCTGCGGTCCGGACACCAACGCAGCCGGCTGGCAGGACGGTCGAACTTCGGGGGGAAACTCTTCCCCTTCAGCCATGGGCGCGCCATTGCATGGAGATCTCGGATCGGCCCACCACCCTGCCGATCACGCACGACCCAAATCTCTCCGACAAGGTTATGTACCTCCAGATGGCCTTCAAACAGCGCCCCCTCAGGGACGGGGGTGGGAAGCCCTCACTTGGACGGCTGGCCCCGTGGACTAGGCCACTGTCCAAAGCAGCAGTGATGGGGGCCAAGATCTGTGTCCTCACGTCGCCATGGGGGGACAAACTCCAGGAGTCGCTCTCGTTGGGGGACGGGTCACACCCCTTCCCGGAGGATCTGCTGGAAGATATCAGGGAGATTCTGGCGCCAGGGGCAGGCCGACCAGCGGAAGGCCAACCCTTCTTCCTGGACATCTTGCACAGCCTGGCGCTGAACATTCAGGAAGTTTCCTCGGGATCTGGAACAAGGGGTCCCACTGGGGGTCACGGACCCACCCCTAGCTTCGCCGGGCATCTGGCCACTCAAGAAGGAGCTGAAAGGGGAGGAGCCGGAGTTCCAGGAACTCCCTCATCCCACGGGCCGGGGTAACTACCCCTCAACAAATCACTTCAGTGAGCTCATCCGTAGCACATTCCTGGAGGAGGTCCCCATGGGCATGGTAGATGGCCCTCTCACCAAGGTAGAGGCAGCAGCGCGCTGTGGCTGCAATATGGAGGATCTTTGTCCAGGCCCCTAGCGGGCATCGACGAGGGGGACAAGATCCGCACCATCTACGATGGCTCGGTGGGCGGGGCCAATGACACCATCAGGAACCAGACGGTGGAAAGGACGACGGCTCCGACGGTGCTGGATGGGGTACAAGCTCTTCATTGGCTACATGCGGCAGCTGAGGAGGGACCTCCCTCTCAGGGTGCCCCCGGCCCCGAGAAGGAGGTCGCTAAACCTCCACCCGAGGGCTGGCTATGGCCGGAGCCGGGCACCAGGTGGGTGCTGCTCAAGGCGGACGTCACCAAGGCCCACCGGAGAGTGAAGGTCCTCAGGAAGGACTGGCGGTTCCAGGTGGCTTCACTGGGGGAAGAATGGTGGGTGAACAAGGTAGGCACATACGGCATGGCCAGTGCCCAATCCTACTGGGGACGCCTGGCAGCCCTTCTACTCAGGGTCCTCTACGCACTTTTCCCTCAAGTGGATTGGAACTTCGTCTTTGTGGATGACTTCCTGTGGCTGCTTCGCAGCGAGGGGGCAGTAAACTTGGCGGTGGCGCTGTTGGCAACACTCCTGGCCTTGGGCACCCCGCTTAGCTGGAAGAAGACACATTTGGCGGAGGTCAACACGTGGCTGGGCTTCGTGGTCCACCCGAACATCCCGCAGGTTCTCATGGCCGCCAACAAACACATCCTGGTGATGGAGGTCCTGCAGACCATGGTGGAAGGGCAGGCGATGCACTCAAAGGACATCGAGAAGGCCCTGGGCCGCATCCAATGGGCAACTGCTGCATGTCCGCTGGCGAAGTCGATGCTTCAGCCATTGTGGGCCTGGAAGATGGCCACCACCACGGTGGGGAAACCCCCCAAGGTGGTCAGGATGCTGGCGTTCATGCTGCGGTTCCTCTTCAACACGCCCTTCGTCCAGTACTCCCCTTACTTGCCGAAGTCCTCTTGGTGGGGTTGCAGCGATGCTAGCGCCTCGGACGAAGGACTGGCATTTGTGGGAGGATGGTGCTCCAACAAAACGGAGCCGGAAAAGAAGGAGGTGTACTGGTTCCACGAGCAGATCCACGTGGAGGAGTACCCTTGGGCATTCAAGAATGGGGATCCCAAGCGGAGGATTGCGGCTTTGGAAATGCTGGGCACGCTCTTCCTCTGTAACATGATCCTCACGCACCAAGGCCCTCTGTCCTCCCGGGTCCGACTCCCGGTGGGCAGTGACAATCAGGGCAACGTCATGGCGATGCTCAACCTTGGATCCAAGAAGCCCTACACCGCGGCTATCCTGATGGAGCTGGTCTTCCTGCTCCACACCCATGGCTGCTCGCTGGCGGCCAACCACGTGCCCCGGGAATTCAACCAGTGGGCCGATGAGCTGACGCACCCAGATTTCGCTGGGTTCGACCCTTTGCACAGGGTCCCTAAACAGGAACTCTGCGAGGAGTTTGTGTTTTTCTCCCGCGTCTCCTGAATGGAGATGCATTTGATCTCAGCGTGGGCCCACCCATGCTCCCGTGACCGGAGCCGGTGGGTGACTCACTTCCCCTGGTGGCAGACCCCCCTGGGGCCTGGGTGCCCCGGGCAGCGGCTCAGGGGCGGGCGCTATCAGTCTGCACACCCGTTCTTCAGTTTTTGAGAGTTTGTGGTGGGTGGCCCATGGGGCCCACCCAGCCGTAGACATCTGACAGGGGAAGATGAGTCCCTGGCACCAACACATTGCTTGGATAAAAGAGTTATCGCTTGCATGTGTGGTGCCGTTTGGTTAGCTTACATACACCTAGTGGTGTCCCGCCGCGGATTCCAGATTGGTTTTGCACAAGGCTTGACCTTCGTCTCCCAAAAACCAAGTCGTCATCGCTGGTCAGGACAGGGCTTCCTGCATGCTGCATGTCCTTGCTATGGAACCTCCAAAAATGGCCACTAGATTGATCAACTTGAGGCTGGGGAATCCAGCGACCCCTGATTCTCCCTTTTTGAAGACAGCAATGGAATTGGGAAACCTGCCTCCCCCAGATGACCTACGGATGTTCTAAGTCCGGTGCCCAGCCTTGAGGCTGCCGAGTGCCTCTGGAGCCCGGGGTCCTTGCAGTGGCTCTGCCCTATGACTCGGAAGCTCAGGCGAACCGCGCGCACGCTTTCGCGTGTCGAGCTCTTTTCTCTGGGTTTCCCTTCAACGAAAAGGGGAATCTTCAAAGAAAGACACGCCCAGGGTATGTCTTCAGTCTTTTCCATAATACCCTTTTGTACCCCTTTTGGGGGGTTTTAGAGGGAAACGAGAAGGAACACCGAAATCCATGACACCTTACACGCACTGTAAGTTGCAAAACCCTGTTTTCCTCTGGGCTAGTGTGTTGGGGGGTGATGTTGACCCTGGATTCATCCCGCTGGTTCCCTCTATGAGGAGCTCTGTCAACCAGTTGATTAATTTCGGGCCCCTGTTTGACTCAGATGTGCCTGAGTTGGTTACCCTAGAAGTGAGGTTGGATTGCAGGGAAGCCAGAAAGGGGTTCTTTACTTGACAAATGTCGACCCCGGATGCGTCAGCCGCAGCGGTCAGTTTGTTTGTGGGGTGCAACTCCCTCAAAAGTGATCAGGATTTTTACTCAATCCCCCCATAAGCATCAGCAAGGGGTTCGTTCATCCTGGGTTCCCATTTGTTTGTGGTGGCTTCTTCGTGGGTTGGCAGCCAAACTGCATTTCAAATATTCGTCAGCCAGAGTTGGTGTTGATCATGTGACTCATAATCGGAATTTGGTAGTAACATTGTCTACCCGGAACCATGTAGTTATAGTTGACTACAAAGGCGGCGGCTACACCATCTTTATTGGGAGGATCCCTGAGTAACCTTCGGGGTTTCGTCTTTCTCGCGTTGGAGCCACTGCCTCTGAACCCAAGGGCTCGTGACGTCTCCGTCTCCCCGAAGCTTCGGCCACCGACGGTGGACTCGAGGTCGTCCCCGGCTTTGACTCATGAACCACCAGAACCCCATCCCAAGTTCTGCAGGTGTTCGAACAGGTTTGGTTTTCTGGGGCTCCCCGAGAGTTTCTCACAGAACCCCCCCCGGCCCCCTGGCGCTCGATGTCTCGCAGCTCCGCGGATTTCCCGGGTTGAAATATGAGAGGCCGAGGATCCCATCGAGTGGGAGGAGTTTCTGCTGCGACTGGGGTGCCAGCCTCCCAAGGCCCCTGGCGTCAGTACGAGCGAGCGCTTGCCGGGCTACGTCCCAAATCGAAGTCCCAGTTCGGAGCTGTCACTTGGGTTCGGGCCATTTGTGGTAGCCGGCTCCTGGGGCTTTTGGAAGACCCAGACACCCATTAGACACCCCGCAGGTGTTAGGGGTCTCAAAACTTGGTTGTTTGAGGGGCCCCAAATCAATCGGGAGCGTCTGGGTAAACAACAGTTTAAGAAGGCTTGTTCTGGCCAATCCTAGGAAGGCAGTTGACTTGGATGCTGGTTGTCAAGCTGGTGGTTGGTAACTTAGGATACGAAGACAGTGGAGCTAGCCCAACCAAAACGAAAGCCAGGATGGGATGGGTATTTTGATTGAAGCAGAGAGAGAGAGAGAGAGAGAGAGAGAGAGAGAGAGAGAAAGAGAGGGAGAGGGAGAGGGAGAGGGAGAGGGAGAGAGAGAGAGAGAGAGAGGGAGAGAGAGAGAGAGGGAAAAACAGGGAGAGAGAGAGAGAGAGAAAGAGAAAGAGAGAAAGAGAGAGAGAGAGAGAGAGAGAGAGAGAGAGAGGGAGAGAGAGGGAGGGAGGGAGGGCGGGAGTGAGGGAGGGAGGGAGTGAGGGAGGGAGAGAAAGAGAGAGAGAGAGAGTCACCTTTCATTGAAGGCCAATTTACAGCTATGGTTCGACGAGGTGTTGGACTGTGACTTTATTGAGCGCATGGACACATTTTGAAGGAATCAATTTTGCAATTGATGGACCGGGGCAGAAGCCCCCACTGACAGGTATAGGTTTATGAATCCGGGGTTTCTGCGGTGCAGCAAGCGAACGACCACCCCCTCGGCTTTCAGTGAAAAGCCATGTGTTGGCTTGCTTCTTGTTGATTTAAAGGCCCAGCGGGTCCAAGTACCTTGTGAGCATAGTTTTTGAGGGGTTAAAGGGGTCAAAGTGAGCCATCAATTGGACCCTCAGGAGAAGGTAAACCTCCAATTTGACCCTTTCAACCCCTCCAAAGCCAGCCTCACATAAAGTGTCTAAGATGGCTTCAACAAACCCCACAACCACCGAGGAAATGATATCTCACAACCACCTCTTTTACCTTCCAATCAACATACAACATCCTGGAAAAAGGCTCTTGGAAAAAGGAGCTCCTGGAAAAAGGGTACTCCAGACGGGGCGCAGTCGTGGCGTACATGGGACGGTTCCCTCGGCCGAATTCGGCGAAGTCGACCTCCCCGGAGGCGGACTTGCGGACAGCGGTCGAGAGCCCGGTGCTTCCGGCGCTGGAGCAGCTGCCAATAGCGACCCAGCCGGAGAGAAGTGAAGCTGTTGGTTGGTAAAGCCACAAGGAAGCCAGCGGCAGGGGACCGATTCCTATGTTGCGAAACACCCTACTCCAAAGGAATCTGTTGAAAGACCTAGTTGTTCATAGTGAGTAGTGAACTTAGTGAACCTTGAAGTTGGTACGGTGGATGCCCCGTTCGCCATATTGCAAGTAAACCAACCACACCGACCCACACAACCATGGTAAACTGGGGTAAATTAGGGTAAATGAGGGAGATGGTGGGGCATTCGCCCTTTCCAAACGGAATTTGGAAAGACCTAGTTTTCCCTAGTAAATGTATCCTTTGTGAGTCAGGGCTCAAAGGGCCAAAGCTGGCATTTGGAGCAGGGGGTATATGGGTGGGCTGGTTCAAATGAAAATCAGCAGGAGTTCCCAGGGTTTTACGGCTGAGATCTCGTTTGACATCACTGAACGTGTTCGAGGTGCAGTAAGCATGGGCGTGCCTCTTTTTTAAGGGTACCATTCTTTCTGGGGTTGGTGTTTATTGGGAAAACACAGGGACACCTTCTTTTAGCTGCGGGGGCTTCCTCTACTTTGAGACGTGGCAAATCGGAGGGAGTTTCTCAAGCAAAACAGGCACTGGTCGCCTCAAATGGTTGCCCTTTAGTTCCTACTAAAAGCAAGCTGTTGCTTTGCTTGTTTGCACCATTTTGTGAAACTCCCACATTCATGCGTTGTTTTTGTTAGGGCAACCTTCGGAAGGGTGGTTGGATTTGGTTTAGATTAAAGTCAAGCAACAAATAGGAACACTAAAACATACAGAACCCTGTAAAGTTGCAAGGGACGCATTGTGGCGCTCTGAGTTCAGGCATTCAAAGCCACGGCTACGGAAAGTGGCTGGTCTGGGCCTGAAGTTGGCCACAAGAGGCCAAAGAAAGCCATAGTTTTTGGGGGGGAAGGAACGGGAAGGCGATGACTCTGAAAAGAGGACGTATTTATAATATGGGAGCTCATTTGTTGTTCAGAGAAACGTTACTTCTTGCAAGGGAAACCAAATGGGTTTGTCTTACCATAGGGACCCCCCATACATATTACTTCCCTGGAATCCGCTCCAAAAGGGTTCCGAGGATTCCGCCCCCCAAAAAAAGACACACCCACATGGCCAAACTCCAAGCAAGTGGGACCCCGCGTCAAGAAAAGGGACACGGCCTTTCTGTAGGCGAAGCTTCACGCCGTGCTGTCAGCGCTGCCTCCCCGAACTCTGCAGTGGCTACAGGAGAAGGCCTAAAGCGGATACGACCCAAAGTGGAGTAAGTGGGTTTCTTGGGCAAAGTAAAAAGAGGTCCACCAGGTTCGTTGTGGGTTGGAAAAAGTGGGTTTCCTTGCATCTTCAGAGGGGAAAAGGGAGGTTTCACTGAGCCGTGTGCTTGCCCAACGACTTGGCTCTGACTTGGGCGTTGAAAGGAGGTTTTGAGAAACAGCTCGTCAGTAGAACCACAAGTTTATTGGTTTTGGGCGCTGATTTGCCTGCGAATTTCAGGAGTCTGAACGAGTCGGAACTTAAGCCTTCCATTTGCTTAAGAATGTTGAGTTCTATTTTTCCAGGGGACTCCAGCAAATGGAGGAAGCCATTTCAACTTCACGCCCATGTTCGGGATTTTCGTAATTTGCCAAGGGTTCACACCCCGATGCCCCCATGTCAGGGATCAACGCGCCAGTTTGGCAATACAAGAGTCCCGCCTTTATGGGGCCCTTTCCTAAAGAACAAAAAGAAGAAGCACCCTGGACTTGAGCGTGGTGTTTTGGGCTCTTTGCATCCGTTTTACCCGAATTCATTTATCTGAGCATGTTGGCGGCAAGGTTCCATTGTTTGATTGCCCCAAACCAGACTAACATCCAGACATTGTTCTGCTTGATATATCAGCAACCCGCCTAGGTTTCAGTCAACGTTGGTCATCAAAACCGGAACGCTTTTGGTGGAGCCGATTTTTCCAAACTTCAGGCTATGACAACTCCGATTTGACAGCTGGGTTTGTTGACCCTAATTTGTGGCACTGAACCCATGAACGGTGCGCCCTGGCTCCCCCTTTTTCGGTGAGACACCATCAAAGCCTGGCTGGATGAAGGTTAGGGAATAGTCCTGAGCAAAACTGCCCTCGGACAAGTCTGCATTTGTTTGGTCCACGACCCAGGTAGGGAACCCCCTTTTGTCCCTTTTCATGTCTACCCCTCATTTACTTTTTCATAGCCCCAGACCCCTTGTATCCGGTTTGGTTGCTGGTTAGGATTGGTGGTTTGGAACCGGATTTGAACTCCGGAACAGCTGGGGGTTGTCCACTCCGGAACAGCTGCAAACCGGGCTAAAAAGCTTTAAGGGGATGGCTGGGAGTCACCAAGAAAAGCTAAGGCTTTCTTGAACAAAAAACAGAAGGAAAGGACATGGGGGTCCCCCGTGTTAACACATACCCATTTACAAGCTTCTGTGGAGACCGAAGAAACAAATGCCAGCTTTGGGGGTCCCTAAATTTAACATACTCATCTATAAGCTTGTCTGTTGGTGGTGGGGAGCCTTTTAGTGTTTAGTGGTAGTTTGCATTTGACCCACTAAAAGTTTGTCACTTTTAGCTGGGGAGCTGAAGGCGGCCCAGTCTTGGTTTCCTTTGAAACCCGGGCAACGCCATGAGCCTCACCGGCGTCCAGGTGGTCATGATGGCTCGCAGCGGCCGGGCGGTGGCGCTGAACAACTTGGTGGCGGAGCAGCTTCTGAGGACCTCCACCGGATCGGACCTTTTGGCTCGTTTTTGCCTCTGCGATAGCGCACAGTGTCTGTTCGACGCAGCGATTTTTTGGGGGGGAGGGGGAAAGAAGGAGAAGGCCCCAAAAACAAAGAAGTCAGGGCATCAGTGCTTGTATAGACCTTTTGGCTCTGTCTGTTAGGGAAACCCTTGGTAGGTTTTAAGAGACAAAATCAGTGGGAAGACCACCATTTTATGGGGTCCACTAGAGCAAACTCGCCTTTGTGCAACAATTTGGTGAATTTGAGTCGCTTTGGTTTTTGTAGGGCCTTTGACGTGTCTGCCTTTTTTTGGCCGCCATTCTTAGAGGCGCCCGGTGATCTGCAAAAAAGTCGGGCTGGGAGGAGCCTCCCCTTGCCCTTGGAACAGCTGGAGCTTGTGCCGGTGCCTCCGGAGACGTGCCAGAGCTCAAGTGAAGTGGGGCCCAAAGTGGGAGCTGAGAAACTAGGTCCCCCAGCTAGGTGCCCCTGTTAAACCCCTCTTTTGGTTGGGAGGGTTCAGAAAAAAGTTGGTACCCTTATTCTAACCTCTCAAACCTGGAGGACCTAGTTAAGGATATTTGCTATTTTCCCCCTGCTGGGGAGCCTTTGAAGGTTCCAGTTATATAATTCACTTGCCTGGTGCGCTGCACACTTGTTGCATGTGTCTCTGTGCCATCAACTTCTGCACGCTACCTGCTTACTATTGAATTATTTTGGACTGGTTTGCTCCCTTAAAAAAAACTTGTCTGGCTCGGCCCCGTGTTTTTTAATATGAGTTGTTTGGGTGGTTTATTAACGTTGTGCTTTGGAGGGTCGACTTGGGGGGGCGGTGTTGTATGTTTGCAATTAACTTTTTAATTAGCCCCTTCTCAATTTAGTATTGGGTGAAAAAGCGTGTCCGGTGGCCGAGAATTTTATTAATTCGCGCCCATTTATTAAACTTAGGTTGACATTAAATTGTGGTCTGTGGGCCGTTGTGACATCCACTTCGCACCCAAGGAATCCCTGGAATGGTTCTTCCCCATACCAACGAACAATGGTTTCAACCACTGTTTCAAAGTGGTGCGGACGGATTTCGTTCATCCACAGTAGTTTGGCAGCGAGCTATCCCTTGGAACCTTGGAATCAACCATGGAGCGGTGATTCGTTTGTCCCCGCTGCCCTTAGAAAGGGCAACCCGACCATTTCAGGGTCCATCGAAGAAGGCCCACCCTCCAATGAACCCTTTTCTACGCCTCTTTGACCCCCCAACAAAAAAATCAAGTGTTTTTTCAGGCGGAAGAAAGGGGTGCATGGGTGGTGCAGGGTATGCACGTTCCCAGATCTGAGGCAAGAGGTGGCCCAACTGCTCGGCATTTGCGTGCGCCAAAACGCGGAGATGTGCTGGTTCATCCTGGCCGCGCTCTGCGCGCAGCAAGTTCGCTCGCTTGGCGGCTTGACGCGGCGGTGTTTTTTTATTATTTGTTTCTCGGCGCGTTCGCTTTTGGCAGTTTCTGAACAGCCTTTTAGTTGGAAACCAAAAGGGCAACCCTTGCCATTTTGGGCGGCCTGATCCCGTCAGCAACACCCTCGCATCCGAACCAACGATCCAAGGTGTCCCTTAATGCATCCAGGGAATGGTATTTTGAGGGTTGTCCTTTCCGGAATTCCCTTTTGTTTCATGACAACCCAAAAGGCTTCCCAAAATTCACTCCAAATACCTCATGCGTTTATTTCCGGTGGTTTGCTTGCCTTGCTCCTACTTTTGGAGAGGCATACTTAGCACAGCAAGCTGGCATTTGTGAGGCAAAAGAAATGAAGGTGGCAATTCTGAGGGTGGCCTTGTTGAGAGTTTGTTGCAAAGGGAAATCAAAGGAAAGTCACCCTTCCGAGATGTGTTCGGTTTGGAGGAGAAACGGTAGACAAACCCTGCCCTGTGTCCAGCTGAATTCACTCTTTGACATGCGCGCTCCACTGCTTCTCTAGAGAGAGAGAGAGAGAGAGTGCGAGAGAAAAATCAGTGGGGAACTTGTTTTCTTCACAGGGGTTTCCCTTTAAGCTCAACCAAATTTGTTCCATGGCAGTTCTGGGTCCAACGAGAAATCACCATCGCGGCCCTTTGGTGGCTCCCAAGCCTGCAAACCTCAGAATGACCCAAGCCGCAAGCCTCATCTTGGTGGTTCCCAGCCATCCCTCGGTAGTTTCCATTCAACCCACTAAAAAAATATAGACTTTAGTTTTTTTGAGGACCTCGAACAACTCCATATATGTCAGTAATTTCCGCTCAGTCCTGTTTTTTACAGCCCAGTCCGGTTTTCTCTTCGAGCGCGAAAGAAAAACGGAGGTCCTTACATTGAGAACCTCGCGATGCTCCAATCCCTCGGCGCGGAAGGCGCGGAGGGTTCTCATGGAGCGCGAGGGCACAAAAAACGGCGACCGGTGGATAGAATCAGGGCCTTCATTTTCTCTTACCCAGAGACTTCCCTTGGTATGTCCTGATGGCTTTTGGGGGGCAAGGGGAAATATATGGAAAAATTGTAGCTCCATAGGTACTTGGACACTCTGGGTTAAGAAAAGGTGAGCTTTTTTTTGCAGGGCCCTCCATAGTTTGATCAGTTTCGAGCTCTTGGCAAGGCCTCGACTCGAAAATAGCTTGTTTTGTGAACAGGTGTCTTTGTCCGTTTAAAGTTTTAGAAATTATCCCCCAAAAAAAGCAAACAAGTAAGATAACAGCTAATTCGTTTTCGGCCACTCAACTGAGCAGGTCAGATGAACTCCCACAAGGTATATACATATGCGGTGTGCATGTGTGCTCCAAGTCCAAGATGTGGGACGTTCTTTCCACTTCAGAGTTCTGTCCAGGGCTGCAGGAAGAAACACCAGGGCTTGGGGTCTTCTTTGCAGATTCTTCCATTTACGTGAAATCCAGCTTCACTAGAAGAACGGATGCTTGACCCTTTCTTGCACCAGACAGGAAAACTGAGCATCACCAAGTCAGCAAATGCTGGTGAGACCTCCAAAACACGTCGAGGTGTGGTACGGGAAACCCTGGATCGTCCGCGTTTACTAAGCCCGACCTTTAGCAAACGGAAGCTGTTTCTCACCAAGTTCTGGTCAAAGACTTAGAATTCATTGCGGAAAGAGGATGCTAGCCACGTGCGATGGTTTAACACAAAAGCCATACTGACTGGTTTCTTAGCCGATAAAGCAGCTCGTTAAGCGAACCCAACACACATATAACCCGGAATCGATGGTTGATTCGGCGATAAACCCACACAGTGGTTGTTGCCGAGTGTTCTTTATGAGTTCATACCTTCGGCATTTTGAGTGTTCCTGGCCTCTAAACGACCATGGGTAAGTTTTCCCATTTAGTGGGAAACATTATCTGTTTACTAGTGTACCAGTGGTCCATCCTAAAGCACCTTTTGATCAACCCCCACATATATGCTTCTGTTATACCCCTATCTACCTAGAGTCTCCATGAGCCCTAGAGTCCTAGAGAAAGGGCTTGCAACCCGGCGACTCCAGGTGCTGATCTATCCGGAAACTCTGGGAAACGGCCGGTTTTCGAAAAGAACGATGGTTGGAAAGAATGAAAAAGGAATCAACCCTTAGAACTGACATACTCCCCCCTCCCCCTGACTCTTTTTTTTTCTCCGATCAGGCCCGACTGCTTCGAGCCCTGTGCTCTTCCTTCCCGACGCGGCCGAGTCTGAGTCTGGGGCGTTTTGTGGGCTCGGAGAGGTCTACGCAGCTCGGAAAAAGGGGGAGGGGACGGGGGGGACAAATATTTTCCTGTTTGGTGGTTTTAAGCACCACTTAGACTTGGATCTTTTCCCTCGATTTTTAGCTTTTTAGTTCTGTGATTTTCCAGGGGGCTGCGAAAAAGAATGTTTTTGCTCACATGCCATGGATTCGAAAGATCTCCGTTTCTGCCCATAGATCAGGATTGGTATATAGGGCGGGGTGATGTTCGGTGAAATAACAGCGACTCTGAGAGGGGGGCTCTCACTTAAATGACACGCCCCACCAGCTTCCAAGGGCTTTCAGATGCATGCCTTTGTTTGGGGAATTCACCATGCTGCCTGTCCAATGTAGATGTGGACGAAAGATGACGCATCACGGACGACTCACTTTCCATGTGTTTCCCGCGGGGCAAGTTGGGGGGTCTAGATAAATGTTGCCAGAAATGACAGTTTTTAGTACGCAGAAGCTGAGTAAGTCGATCTTGCGTATGTCCCCCTAGCTTCGTCGGGATGTTGGGCTTTGCGGGTTGTCCTGGGCAAGTAAGTAAGTTCTTGGTAACCTGGGTGCAACCCACTTTTGGGTCCGTCTAAGTGGGGTTGTCCTTGTTATTAGGAGGTTATAGCCCAAGTGGCTGAACACCGATACTAACTTGGCGAATCGAACGTCCAAGTGGCCCCCTGCAGGTCACTTCACTTGGCCAAAGGAAGCTCCCATACTTCTTTACCACCAAAATGATAACTTCCATTTGATTCAGGATATTTGTTTATTTTCCCCTGTCGGTTGTAAAAGGACTTGAGCACACTGAAAATATTGTTTATTTTTCCAGGGGGCTTAAGCAAATGAAAGACAACCAAGGGTCAGATTCAAGCGTGGTTCCAACTATTTTAAAGCTTGGCTTCACCCCAATGAAACCAGGTAGAACCACTGAAGGATCTAAGGCGGGGGCTCCCGTCTCACTTCCGATCGAGTTGGCCAAAAGTCGATTTCCCAGTAACAGCTAGAGGTAAGGAACCCGACTTGTTACCTTAGTGGTTGTTTATCACCAAAATGGTCCAAACCCAAAAAGTGACTAAAAAAAGCTTTAGAAACTTGGGAAGTGAGTAGAAGCGGTTCTGAGAAGTTGTAGGGGCCCCAGTCACTGTCACTCTTTGTAAGTCCAGTGACTCCGGGAGTTCTTTGCCCCGGTCAACCGTGGCCCAGCACATGTTCATGGGAAGAAAAGGCCGCCCTTTTTGGTTGTCAGGTAAATCCTAATCGTTGTTATGCTGCCTTTGGGGTTTGGTGGTTTCCTTGTGGGTTGATTAAACAATTCTATCCACCTCCCGAAAAGCATGGGGGAACAAAAACCCCACGGCGCTCCGATATGTTTTGGTGCTCCGATTTTTTCGGAGGCTTGGCATGGCCATGGCCCCTCACTCGTCGAGGTGTGCTCGGACCTGGACGAGGGGGACCTCTCCTTTGGGTTCCAAGAGCTCCGGCGCTGCCTGGCGCGTGGTGTCGGGGGGCCCAGATGGCTGTGTCTTGTGCCCGCTTTGCGTTGGGTTTAAAGGGAAGCCAAAGGGAAAGCGTAAGCCATTTTGGGGGGTCGTACCATTTCGGGGGTGGTTGAAACCAAAGGAAAAGCTCAGCATTTTTGGGGGGGTCTGGTTTCTCTTTTTGTTGGAAACTCCTTGCTGGGTGAATTAACAGAGAAAACAAAAGGAAACTAACCAATGATGGGGTCTACTTTTTTGCGAGACACCCATTTTATCAGTTTAACTGGGCTGTAAATAGCCAAGCATGTCCGATGAGCCCAAGATAAAACGGAAAGGGGATGGGTTTCACATTTGTCATGATTGCGCATGGTTTGGTTGGGAGACATGCTGAGGAAGTCAAAAGGTTTCAGGTTGGCACTCTTCGATTCTGCCCCATGAACAAAGGATAACTACGTGTGTAGCATTCTAGAACTCATTTGCTAGGATCACCCGATTCAAAACATCCCAGGAGAGCTAAGTGGTTGAGATCCCCCAGAAAACCTGCAGATACCCCCTGTAAACCCTTGTGTATGTAACGAAGCATTTGGCGATCACCGGACCATTTAAGTGGAGAGGTGTGCTCAAATTGTCCCTCCGTGGTTCAAAAGGGATTTGGGGAGCAGCTCAAGAGGCCTGGCGTCCTCAAAGTTATTCTGTATAGGGTAGGCCAAATTCATGGACCAGAGTTAGTTTGCCTTTCTTTGGTGCATTTTGCTTGGATGTTAGGACTTTCACTTTTTGCCAACTAATGGGTTTTCCACTAAGCCACAAACGGTTAGATAAACTTTTAGCAGGGGAGCAGAAAGCAACCGAGCTTTGGTTTGTACATTTCAGAGTGTCAAGAACCCCCAGGGACCCATAGATAGGGGAGTCAGATCCATGCTGGAAGGTCATCAGCTGCCGTCAGAACGTGGCTTATTGGTCCTTCGCCCAGGCACATTCGCATCCGACTCGATGGAATTGTTCGATGGGCTGCACGTGTAAAGAGTCGCTTGGGTGTGTCTCTTTGTTTAAGGGGGACCCCACAATGGTGGGCTTTCCTTGTGTCTTTCCTTTGAAACCACGAAAAGAGGAGTACCCTGAAAAAAGACACCCGGCCCCTACTTGTTGGGTTTGGTTGCCAGAAGTGGCACAAAGTTCAGACTCAGACTCTCGGCAAAGGTTGGGCCTTCCCAAAAAGGGAACAGGTTTGGGCCCTAACTGCCGACGATTTGGATCTGTCCTTGTTTGATGGTGCATGCCCTTTCTTGGTTTCAAAAGAGACCCAAAAGCAAAACCGCGATTTTCGCATGGGGGGGTCCCCTGCAAAAAAGAAAATACACCTATCGGAAGAAAACTAACTTGGTGGAGTCTTGTGACCCTTTTAAAAGATGCCATGACTCCTTTCTCTTGGGCATGATCCTGTTCTTATAGTCATAGACTCCAGCTCCCCATTCAATCATTCCAATAGCCAGGGATCCTTCTCTTCAAGCATATACCAACCTGCTTGGGGGCCATGGGCGACGTCTCTGTTGTTGAGACCTGGTGAAAGAAATACCTGGGGGAATCCCACATGGCTGTTGGTCAAAACCAATGGGATCCCATTTTGGGGTAGGTGAATTCACTACCCATTTTCGAACCTATTTCAGTGGGGATTGGGATTTTCACTGGCTACGATGTGGATTTTGACCAACTGTCCGGCTGGCTGGCACCCCAGCTTAGGGTGTCCCCAGCTTAGGGTGTACACCCAACCATTTGGCCGGCACGCCTTCTGCAAAAAAAGCTGAGGGTCATGGCCGATGGACACATCTTCCGCGTCATTTTCGCCGGGCTCGCCGCAGGACCTGCGGCGCTTCGGGTGCTCTGCGCGCCCCAGCTGCGCGGACGCCGCTCTGGCGCTGCGGACCGCCGCGGCGGAGCGGCGGCTTGACTGCCATCGAGTTGGATCTTTAGGCTTTGATTTTTTGGGAAATCACGGGGTTTTCCACTCAACCCCCAAAGAGTTCAACTTTTTGGAGGGTCAACAGCAACCAAGGCGGAATCGGCGCGCCTTGGGGCAGAGGGACCTGCTGAGCGATCGCGGCCTTGAGGCGCGTTGACGAAGACCGGGGAAGCCAAATGGGGACACCATTTTTTGGGGTACTCCTCTGTTTTAACGGAAGAAACCCAAAAAGGGGTCCAGGCTCTTCGACTTGGGTTCCATGGAGTAACCGTCATTCCGACGCTGTTCAAAGGTACAAAAGGCGTTGGACCCCAATTGAAAATCGGATTGGCTGAGCCTCCATTTTGGACACGGAGAAACCAATGAGCCTTTTAAGGAGGGAGGTTGAGAAGGATTTTTTCTGGGCCGGATTTGGGGCAAATGGGGATTTTGTTTGGGTAAACGGGCCCCTTCGACTGATCAATAGGGCTCGACCCGAAGCGACCATGAAGAGGACCACCACTGAGGGCGTTAGTGTTCAGGTGCATACTAGAGCCGGGGTTGGCTTCAGAGGCCTTCATGCTCGTGACTACAGCTTTGCCCTGCGTTTGTTGATTTGTTGACATGGGTGTTTGTGTGCGTGTTTGGGGAACCTTCTTTTGGTTGGTTCTAAGGGGAACCTGAAAAGAAAGCCACCATTTTGGGAGGTCCCCTAAACGCATGCGCACCCACATACTTTCCTGCTAGTTGCGTTCTATCCTGGAGCCCCCATTGTGACACAAGGATGTGTTCCTTAAAATTGTGTTCGAGGCGTTGTGTTGTTCAATCTGTTCGGAGGAAGACGAGCAATTGCAGTGTTTTTTTAGAAAGGAGCGACAAATCATCTCGGAGGATACATCCAAAAATATAGAAAAAAGCTGCGTATTCTCAGGCGGTTTTCTAGAAAACGGTACAACAATGAAATTAAGAAACGAATCAGCAGAAGACAAACATACTTAACTTACCTCTCAAGTTCCAAACAAGGATTCTACATCTCGCACAAAAAAATAGTTTCTGTCCGGTGAAGGGGGCTGCCTTCAGCTAGCAGCGCACAGTCTTGCATAGGTGTTTTGTAGTTTGCTCGATAGTTTCTTCCCAGACCGCCAGTGGGCAGTGGGGTTTTGCCTTTTCCTTTGTGGGCGGTTTCCTTTCAAGATAAACAAAGGATGCCCTTTTTTCCCACGAGCAATTCCTCCATTTGCCAGATCTTTTGTTGAGCAATTGCCCCTGACACATTCGTATCTTTGGTCGCAATTTTGCAGTGAGCTTCCTTTGGGGTAGGGGCCGTTTGTGCCATGGTGTCCACACCCCTTTATGCGCGGTTGGCAGGCATGGTCATCCAGCCAGTAGGCATTTAGACAGCCAATGTAAGGGTTCTCACTCAGGGAACCATTTGACCACGGCACCGACAAGGAACCCTATGAACCCCATTCAACTTTCATTGGGAGGCAATGTTTAAAGGAGAACTGCCTGGGGTGATGTGAGCCAGGGGTAGAGCCAGAGCCAGGGGACTCTCAAACTTCCCCCTGAACCAGCGACTGACCAATTTCCGGCATCGTGTTGGGGACACACACACACACACACGTAATTTTGACCGTGGTTCTGGCGAGCCACAATCAAAGCTCAGGTAGATGAAGGTTCGACATAGTCCCAACCATCTCAGTGCGGTGCGGCTGCCTCTTGATGCTTGACATTGCTTACCTCCGCCGTTGCAAACATATTTCTCAATGGGTTTTGGTGGTACGCCATTTTCATATACCGATCGGCTTTGATTTGGGTTTTCATTGGGGACCTTTTGGACATCATCTAGATTGGAATTCACCAACCATTGAGGGTGTTACTTTCATGCCCATGTCTGACTCGGGGTCATTTCAACACCAGAGGTCTTGATTTTGGCCTTGTATGCAAAAAACATTGTTATCTCCGCCGTTTCAAGCATTGTTGTTCTATTCCTTTCGGTAGTACACCGTTTTGATATGCCGATCGGCTTTGATTTTCAGGTGATGCTGAGCCTCTACCAACTCCTGGACCATGTGCTGGCGACAGACAGCAACCGCTCCATTCGCAGCTGGACGGAGCGCCTGGCGGAGGCCGACGGAAGCCCCGTCGATCGCTCGAAAATCCCTCTTCGTGCCTTCGGATGGCTTGCTGGAGGGGGGGAGAGGGGGATGGGGGGGGAGTGGGGGGGCAGGGGGGGGAGGGAGGGGAGGGGAGGGAGGGAGGGAGGGAGGGAGGGAGGGAGGGGAGGGAGGGGAGGGAGGGAGGGAGGGAGGGAGGGGAGGGAGGGGAGGGAGGGAGGGGGAGGGAGGGGAGGGAGGGGAGGGAGGGAGGGGGGAGGGAGAGGGAGGGAGGGGAGGGAGGGGAGGGAGGGAGGGAGGGAGGGAGGGGAGGGAGGGAGGGAGGGGAGGGAGGGGAGGGAGGGGAGGGAGGGGAGGGAGGGGAGGGAGGGGAGGGAGGGGAGGGAAGGGAGGGAGGGGAGGGAGGGGAGGGAGGGGAGGGAGCGGGGGGGGAAGAAGTTGATACTTCCCAAGATGCTGATGGACCCTTTGGGACTTGGGTTACCCTTCATTTGCTTGAGGATATTTTGTTTTGTTTTCTGTGTCGCATGTTGTTTTCTTTGGTTTTAAAGGGCATCTATCACCACTGCAGACATATATGTTCTCATTTTTTTCCAGGGGTGTATCCGTCAGAAGAAGTTGTACCGCTGGATATACTTGGAACCGATGTCAGCTCGCGTAGTCCCTGGTCATTTTTCGGCCGTGGAATTAACATCGCCGAATCCCGGTTGGCCATTTCTAGGGTATCTCCACAAGTGGCCGCTGGTTTGCGAGTTGTTTGTTGCCCCTTGAGTTTACATTCGGATTCAGGGCAACTAACAGCTAGTAAGTAATGTATAATGTATGCTGTAGAGGCCCTAGCTGTGCTGAATGGGGAACAGCCTCCCAAATGGTGGGCGTATCCCCTAAATGATGTCCAAAGGATCCCCAACTCAGATTCACACCCATTTGGGGGTGCGGGTATTTGAGGGTACCCCGGTTGGGTTGGCTTAATCGGAAAGCAAAAGGAGGACCAATTTTCGGGGGGTCCCCTATGTTAGCACACACTCGTGTGGTGAAGTGCCCTGTTGCTGGTTTCTATAAACCAATAGTCTACACGGGTACCCTTATGAATTTTGATTCACCATTTCTGAGTTCCTTGGCTTTGGTCAGCTTTTGAGAAGACTACTTTAGTTGACAAAGCGCTTGGAAGTTTTTTGTTTTTTCTAGATGCGCTAGCTGGGCTTGGACGTTTTTTCTTTTTCGTTTGGGGGGGCGGGGGCGGTTGGGGGTGAGCGCTCCACGTGTGACGCATCTCCTTCCGCTCTCGGCGCCTCGCAGGCTCCGCGCGGTGACCTGGAGCTTCCGCTGGTCACCTGGGAGGGCGCCGTGGCTCGAGGCAGCGATTCATCGATTCGGGCGCGGCGGAGGTTTCCTTCCCAGGCGTTGGGGAGAAACTGGCTCAGGGGAATGGAGCCTTGGGGCTTTTCTTTGGGCTCCTTCCCTGAGTTTCTGGAGTTGTTGGGATTGGAGCGGAGAGCTAATGCTGACAGAGTATCAATCAACTGTTTGTTTAAATGGGGCTTGTGTGTCCCTGGGTGTGGGTTTAGCTGAGTCTGGTCGCATGTCCTTGGCAAAGTAATCTTTTAGGTCACGACAGAACAGGCCAAACCAGCAAACGCGGGGGTTGGCAGGTCATGGGTTGATTCACTTTGAGAAAGTGAGTTGATGGAATGCCACTCAGGATGTAGCCGACAACCTGGTGGATTGCGGGGCTTTTTCCCTAAAGTGATCCGGATCCCTAAAAAGTGAGTTGCACCCCAAATGCGTTGACCATGCTTTGTTGTTCAAACCCGGGTTCCCATTAGCTGAATCACCTCAGATGTTTTAAACCTGGGTTCTTCTGAAGATTCGGAGATGATTCGCCCCCTGGATCTGAAAATGATGAAAGATGTCCCTGTGCGACAAGGGAAAGCACTCATATCTTTGTTGTTTGGTCCTCAAGTCGCCGAAGTTATCACCACCCCGACCCCAGGAAGCAGATATGTCCGGAGCCCTATGTGGCATGGTTGTTATATCTTAGACCTGGCCCCGGTAGCTACGCTTCCCAACCTCAGCAGGATCCTGTTTCAATTGATGGAACAGAGAACCATGGGTGAAGATACGGAATCTATCTCCTAAGTCCTAAGTGTCTCCTTCAAAACGATTTTTCTGGCAGAACATGTTTTTCTGTGAACAGATGTGGGCCAAGATGCCCTCGACCCTTACGTCTCACCGCGTCGACTCCTCTGGGAGACCCGGAGATTCGCAGAGACGCGGAGACGCGCGCAGGCGAGGGTGCAGAGGTCCGGGCGTGCCGCAGCACCTGGCTCATCGACTCCATGCTGGCGCAAAACGCGGAAGTGCCTCAGTTGCAATGAAATGACCTTCCGCAGTTTGGATCCCATCGACCTGAAATGACCTGAAATGACCTTTGCCGCTTTTTGCCGCTTTTTGCCCCTTTGAGCTTTGGTTTTGTTCCCCTTTTGGACCTTTGGATCCATTTTTTTGTCAAGGTACCTTTGAGCTGTTTTTCCCGCTTTTGGATCCTATTGTTGATGAAGGTACCATTTTATTTCCCGGCGGCCCTGGCAAGTGAGGTACTCTTCGTGCACGTGGAGCGGGGGAGTGGGGGCTGGGGAGCGGGGGGGGGGGGGGCGGGGTAGGGAGGACACTTGGGGTCTATGTTGCAACGACCTTCGCTTATATAGGGTATTGGGATTCTTCGGGTTTGGAAAGGGTGGCTTGTTTCTGCGGTTTTCTCAGCTACCCTTTCCTCACCTGTTGAGCAAGCATGCAAAATAAACGTTTGGCTGGTCTCCTCATCATTTTAGTCCAGAAAGGGCACCCTGGTCAATTCAGAAGCTGAAACACCCGTGAAGGGTTTTGCCTGTTCGGTGTGTCTTGTTTTAAGGGAACTACTGGTTGAATTTCTAATGGAGAACCAACATGAAACCACTTGTTTTCGGGGTCTCACTTTGAGACAAACCCAAGTCCCCCGTTGCCACTTTCTGCCGTCGGCAACAGACGGGAGCGGCTCGCAGGACATTGCGGAGCGGTGCCCCCACGTGGTGTCCGCCATGGGTTGGCCTTACTTGGAGGCGGACGCTCAGAGCCTCGGCTGAATCTGGACGCCCTGGACCGAATCCGTGCGTCGCCTCACACCTGGGCCTTTGAAGGAAGCGGCCATTCTTCTTTCGAGCCCCAGCTTGCGAATTCGATTTGGGCCAAGAGATGGACCTGTAAAAAAAACATGGGGGGGTCGAAGAAGGGAGGCACGGTGCACGAAGTGGTCTGCAGCCCAGGTTATGGCCTACCCACAAAACAATCCAAGTGGGGCAGGTGGAAACCCAAGCGGCAAAAATCACTCAACTTGGCCGAAGGTCGACGTTTGAATCCCGGATATATCCGGAGGACCCTACGAAGGGGGGTTTAATGTTTGTTGCGGCTTGAAATGTTTTGTTTTTTTCATTTTCAAGCAAAGGATCCTGTGGCACCAGTCCAACAACAACCCGGAGTACGAGCTCGCCGAAGTCTCCGCAGCCTTCAGCGAAGTGCTACAGCGATCCATCCAGGCAGGATGCGCGAGAGGATGAGGGAGTCTGTTCATGTGGGTCCCTTAAAGCTTCCATTTGCTTTAGAATATGTGATGTTCCCCCTGTTGGTCTTAAAGGGAATCTACCCACTGAAAGGATTCTTTCCAGGGGATGTATTCGCAAGTTGAAGTAAAGCGAACATGGGTTTGTCTCAAAACATGGGGTTCGTTTCAATGGTTGTTTCCTTTGTTTCCCTTCAACACCCCCCAAAAGGATAGCCCAACAAAAAGACATACCCACATTTTGGCAGTTCTCAAGAGTAAGTTGGGTGGGAAACCACTTAAAAATGACGAGAGGATAGCGTTTACAATGCTACTGTCATGGACCTAGTTTGAGGAAGGTTGGCTTGAGGGCCTTCGAAGCGATGGTGATGATGACTTAGGCAGATGGCGGATGCGCCAGAAACGGATCGCGCAATTCTGCGAGAGGGATTCTGTTTGCATTCAGGTTACTAAGTTACTACTCTGCAAAAATTTTGATCAGACAGGTTGCCCTTCCCGGTGTCCCGTACAAAGTGTTTCCTCTGAACGTGACTGTTCGGCGCTGGAATTCTGACTTGAAGGATCCCACCAAAAGCCCATGAAAGTGCGGCGTTTTGGGGCCGACGGTTCCTAGCCTACGGGCCCAATGTTGACCCCGGGTCCAAGTAGACCCCATCCTAGGGGATGTTCACTCCAGAAGTGAATCCCCACCTTGTAAAAGGGGACTCTATTGCTGGGCCAGGGGTTATTTATTTCGCAAATTCCAAAAGGGTGGTGGGATGTGGTGGGGCAATGCTAAACCACATTACCTCACGAGCGGACTGTATGGTGTGCAATTTAGCCCCTCAGCTTTGTTCAGGATAGCGAGGGTAAATGAGACAGTTCCCAGCATCAAAGCACCAATCCAAACCACCAAAAATATAGTTTAAGTTAGTGCAGATATTGTTGACCCCGGCTAAAAATGGAATCTGCCCACAAACGCTGGATTCATACCATCCTTGATTTGCTAACTTTGGGCAACCCATTTGGGTTGTTCGAAAAGAAAGCGTCCCAATGTGGTTGCCCTTTGGTCAAAAAGTGCCATGCATCCAACTGTGAACCCTGTTGCAGAGGGGATCAAGTGGATCCTGGGAAGTTTCAATCGTAACCTTTCTGGGGTCAAAATATTACGTGAGTCAGGACAAAACACACACACACACCAAGGCCCAAAGCGAATCGACCTTTTGACCTTTCAACTTCCCCTTTTGGGTCTAGTTTTAGTGGCCCCAAAAGGTGGTGTCTGTTAGGTCTGTGCCTGAACCGGGCAACCTAAGAGTGCATAGGAATCTGAACGTCTTTCGTGGATCTGGGCCGCGAAAAGTTGCATGCCCTTTCCTGGGACCACGTGGGACGTTCGGGAGGATTTTTATTTTGGTTTTCAGGACCTTTATGCGGATCGAAGAAAAACACCTTACTCGATCCTCCTTTTCCCAGTACATCGATTTTTTTCGCAGCGTTCAAGTATATGGTTGGGGCATAAAAACTCTGTGTACCTTGAGGATTGACCTTTGGGTTTCATGGCTGGCTGGAATTTGAGTCACACGGGAGTCATTTTCCAGGCCCTTTCCTTGCCTTAGAGATGGCTGTGGTTGTCAAAACTGTTTTGGGATCCCATTTTGGGGTAGGTGAATCCACCACCCATTTTAGAACCTATTTTAGTGGTTGGAGTGGGATAATCACTGGGGGTACGATTTGGATTTTGACCCGCCAGATGATTTTTGTTGGGCTACGCACTTCCCTCCACTGGTGACGTTTCAAACGTCGGACCCTCTTGGTAGAACCTGGGGACCAGAAGTCGCAGCCCGGAACTTTTCCTCTAGGTCCTGGGTTGCTTGCCGAAAAGAAGGACTGGAAGAAATCCTGGACCTTCAGAAGGAGATACGTCTGGAAGAGATAAGAACGTATTTCCAAGTGAAAACCATTCCCCGGATTGCAGAAGGGGGGGCCGACCTCTATCAAACTGGGCGTGCTGCTCGCGCTCAGGTTGTCTCCTGCAACTGGATCGCGCTGGAGGTTTGCCCGGGGACGGGGAGACATGGTCACTTGGTCCAGCGGTTGTTGGGGCCAACAGCCAACTGTTTGACTTTTCGTTGGCAGGTGTCTTCATCATTTAGTAGAGATCTAAAATATACACTTTTTGGCCCGTCAACGCAAGGGGTTTGTGCACGCAGTCCTGGAGTCGAATCCAGCTCCGCCTGGTGCGCGAGGTCATCTTCACGCCTGGCAGGGAGCCGATCCGCGGCCGTTTGCGGGCTCAGCCCTCCTTCGCCTTGCTGGGAGGAGCGAGCGGAGCGTCGAGCCATTGGTTTCCCCAGGGTAGAGGAAGGGTAACCCCGGCCAGCGGTTGTACCTCCAAAGCACCAACCTCCAAAACACGCAAAGTGACCATACTTGGGTGTAAGTGGCCAAGTTATATAAAGCGTTGTTTGCAGCCTAGGTTGTGGCCCACTTGTTAGTGCCCCTAAGTGGGGTTAGCCTTGTTGTTAGGAGGCTTTAACCCGAGTGGCAAACCACTTACTAACTTGGCCGAACATCCAAAGTGTTAATCTCGGATATATCTGGACCCTTCGAATCAGGGTGGTTCTCCTTTCAAGAAATGATCTACCTTGGGCGGGTGGGGGGGTTGACTGGTGTCCTCCAGATGAATCCGAAGTTCGGTCTCCTGCTTAGTTCTTTGCATGCTTTGGGTAGACCACTTTGATACCAGGTTTTGATTCATGTTGACCCCGGATGAATAATCACCCGTCCAATTCCTACGAGGGGGTGTTCCCTCCAAAAGTAGTCCGAATCCCCACTACACCCCGATCAAAATTCACCAGGGGGTTATTGATTAATCTAGGGACATCATAGCTCATCGGAGTCCACTTTCGTCCACAACAATATATGGAAACAAAAACTATCAAGGTGCCACTTTCTTGGTGGACAAATCAAGGTACCACCCCCGTTGAAACATCTTACCGCTCTTCTCCAACCTCTTGAAAGGGGGCCGGCTCGGAGCCAGCCTCGATTTGGAGTGCCGCATGTGCTTTCCTCCAGCCCAAAGCCTTTAGATCCGGCTGCAATTTGGGGTAGGGGTTGAGTCCTTTTCAATCCTCAGCCATCGTTCTTTTCAATAACCGATCGCCATTTCCTCGGGTTTTAAGAAGCATTCCTGGAAAGAATGGGGAAGTTACCCTAGAGTGATTTCAAGAAAGTTGCCCGGGGTGAGTTGTGCGTAGAGTCGAGCTGCCTTCTTGTTGGAAACGTGTTCCTAAGGAGGAACTGGAAACCCAAAGTAGGTTCATCCAAACACGAAGGCTTTGGTTTCGGGTAGATCTGCCGCAGAGTTTTAGCCCTGGCTGCAAAGCCCATACCCGTATAGCGTCCAGCTAGCCGCACTCAACGCCTGACTCAAAAAGAAAGACTCTAGCATGGGAAACCCGGTCTTGCAAAATATACCCTTCAACGAACAAGTATTCGAGGTGCGTTATCCCCTGTAATGACCTGGATTGTTGCCGCCGCTCCTACATCCTGTGGAGAGGGGGTTTGGCAGATCAATATTTGCGTCACCGGCAAAGACAAGCTCCGAATCTCAAAATGACCAAACCAACGTGAATTGGTGCAAAGGGTTGCATTCCCCCAGGGGTCTTTGGAGCACAGTGGAAGAGAGATACCAAGAGTGAACAGTGGGTGAGTAGAGGTCTCAAGTCTTTGACAAACCCTTTGCAAACCCTCCGTAATTAACCAGTCAGGTTCCGTGTAAGTGTGCGGTAGGCTATCGCCGTCCTCACGAAAGAAGTCTGGCCCAGTGCTTCCAGGTACCACGCTGGTCAAAATTGTCAGTAGTGAACTAGGTTTCGTTGCCTCTAGGTTTTACATGTTATGGCTTCCCCCGGGTACCTATAGTGGTAAGTGAAAGCGTTGGGTGAGAACGCCACGGATCCTGTTCCATTTGCGCGGCAGCGGCGCAGCGTAGTAGGTTGTGAAAGGCAGATGTCCTTTTGTTATTGTACCACCAGCTGGTGAAACAGGTTCAACTTTCGAAGTATTGACTCGTCATTTGCAATGGTTGTGTTAAATCAATTAGTTGATACAAGTATGAACATCGTATTTGTTCGGTGGCGGATAGTTGTTTTCTTCCGCATGAACCGCCGTGAGGGCGGAACTAAGGGCGGTGGGCCGTGGGCTTTCATGGGGTCGAACATCTTCACACCATCATTTTCTGCATGGTGCATGTTGCTTGGAAGTTAGGACTTTAACTTCTTGCCAGCTAATGGGTTTTCCATTAAACCACTAAAGGTCAAACTCTTAGCAGGGGAGCAGAATACAACCAAGTCCTGAGGCTTTCAATTCGTTTGCTCGGCCAGACTTCCCTGCCGCGGGTTTCGAAAGTGCAATGGTTTCACAATCGGGATTCTGGCTACGGAAAGTCATCATGGCATGGCCCGCGTCGATATCGTAGGACCTTGATCTTTGGCCCGGTAGACCTTCTGGTTATCATGGGGGCTGAGGGGGAGGGAGGGAGGGGGAGGGAGCCCAAATAAGCCCTTATTAAGCCCTTAAGCCCTTTTTTGGGGCTTATTGGGGCTCCCCCGCCTCCCTCCCCCCCAGACCCCCCATGAGGATACCATGCGCTTTTCCATTCCTAGAGAGGAGGTTAGACCTTTCAAGCTCAAGGGGGGGAAGCGCAACCCAGTTTCAAAAGCCCCCGTAGATGCGCAGGCGTGCTGGCGCTGGCCACGCACTTTGTCCGTGAGGCGCACACGGAGTGAGGCGTCATTCACGGAGCGTCATTTGCGCAGGACGAGGTGGGGTGTCCTTTCTGTACTGCTATTGGGTTAGATCTTTAGACTTCAACTTTTTGGGTTCCCCTCATATGTCCTTTTTAACCAGCAACAGTTAAACTGTTTGCTGGCACCCACGCTTTGTTTAGGGTACCCTTTTCTTAGGTATGGTGTTCAGGGCCAACCAACAGGCCTCCCGCCCCAAAGATGGGGTATTCTATTTCCACCCATTTAGGTGCATATGTTATTGCGAACTCACCTGAGGTAAGACGACAATGCCTCTGGCGAAGGTGCTTTACTTGGGGGGCTGGGGTCTTTCTAGTTTGTTAATGATTACAAACCGGTGCAGGCGTTTGCCATCCTCTGCATAGTTGGATATCACATATTTGTTTTTGACACCTCAACTGCGAAGGAATGCATTCCCTCAATTTATTTAGCCAGAGTTTATTGCTTGACTTACTGTGAGTGAGTCAACATCGGAGTTGTTGACCCAGACGCCCAGCAGTGTTTGTTTGTTTGTTCTTTTTTCTCGGAGGGGTTTCTCTTTCCAGTGCAACAAGAACACATGTTTAGCCGCTTCCGCTGGGGGGTTCCGGGTGGTTGCTGTTGCTGCTGCTGTTCTTGTCGAAGCTTCTGCTGCTGCTGCTGCTGCTGCTGCTGCTGCTGCGGTTGTTTGTGCTTCTTCGGAGGAGGCGAGGGGTGGAGGGGTGAGGCGGTGGGCTGGGGGGAGGACAGCCCTGACCGTCTCCAGGCGGGCGCCAAGGCGGCGCTGGCGGCGGGCGCCTTGGCGCAGCTTTTGGCACTGGAGAACTTCTCCAAGGAGGAGGCGGAGGCAACGAGCGGGGTCCACCAAAATCTCCTCATGAGAGATACAGGCGTCCAAGGAGCTACTCATGCCAAAGGGCCAGAAGAAGAACATGATGCAAACAGTAGAGCAAAAGTACTTACCCCAAAAAGTTGGCCCAAAGGTTCTAGATACCATGAGCAAGAGGCGACCTGAGAGCAAAGCTCCTTGTGGGGCTTTAACTCGGGTTTCTGCGATGCTGTAAGTGTTTTCCACCTGCATGTGTTTTTTTTGGTCTGACTTTTTGGGCAGTGATAGCCATCAAGTATGAAAGCAAACGCTTAGCCTGTACAATCCACTACCAAGAAAAGGGTACCTTTCTTTTCGCAGCTGAAGGTCTGGGCACCTTCTGACTCTTTTCCACGTCTACACCCACTTTTGCTGATTTCTGAGCCTAGATCCTGTCCTTTGGGGTGAGTTTCTTGAGGAAGCTCAGGCTCTTGACAATAGGGCTCTTTACAAAAAGCTTTTCCAGCAGGCCTCGCTGAGGCACATGATGGGAAGTTGCACAAAATTCGGACAAGATCTCCGGCCTATGGTCAATGCAGTTTTCTGGGACATGGGGGAACCACTCAACTTAAGCCACAAAGAGAGCAGAAGAACCCTAGTTGGCTTATATCCATTTCGCACGCGAACCTTGCCGTACTTTGACCGTGACTCATATTGCAGTGTCCAAAATTTGGAGGACCCTGGCAAGTATCGCGAAGCCAACAGCAAGCGCCGCCCATATAGGGGGGCAACTGCAAAGGCTGCGGCTGGCCCATCATCATCATCATCATCATCATCATCATCATCATCATCATCGTCATCGTCATCGTCATTTGCATCATCATCAACCTCATCCTCATCATCATCCTCATCATCATCATCATCATCATCATCATCATCATCATCATCATCATCATCATCATCATCATCCTAATCATCCTAATCATCATCAGCATCAGCATCATCATCATCAGCATCATCATCATCATCGTCATCGTCTTCATCTTCATGTTCGTCTTTATATTTATCATTATATTCATCTTCGTCTTCACCATCAGCTTCATCACCGTTTGTCATGTCTCCCAGCATGGTTGTTGAGTATTTGTTTTAGGTCCAGGAGTGAAGCCTACTCTACCTACATAGTTTGTCAGTTTTAGAGGACGTCCAACATTTTTCGCTGGTCAGTTGATCATTGCTGGGTTTTGAGACTGAACCGGAAGGTTGGGATGGTTCAGTTCAGATCCTGCAACTAACCTTGGTGACTTGGTGGTTTCCAGCCAGTTCCTCAGGGTTTTAGTATTTTGGGGCTTAGTGGTAGTTTCCACTAGTTAAGCCAGCAACGTGGGACTTGTAGCAAGGGGATCTGGAAACAGCACAGTAACTACCGTGGGTACAGTTTCAGGTTCTCAAGACTACTTTTCGGGGATGGACAATCTCTTTATATGGCTGGCCCACCGGTGCAACCCCGAAGGCCCCCTAAGAGACCTTCTGAAAAAAGATGCCTCGGCCGTTAAACCCGGCCCTTCCTCCTTCGGCGGCTTGCAGCAACCCAGCTAACACCACCAAGGGGGGCACATTCAAAGGACCACGTTTTTCCAGACGGCTTCGAAGGATCCCACCAAAAGGGACGGCGGGTCGGTTTCAACGTTCTGGGACAGGTCACGGCCCGCCGCACCTGCGCTCTTCGGCAAAAGCAAGGCCGTGGATTTCTTTGGACAAAATCCACCAGGCAGGAGCCTTAGTGATAGGATGTCCCCATCCCAACTCATGGAACAGCTTGTGGTCAAACTTTAACCTTTGGGGTTCGCCCTTTTTTGCTTTTTTGAGCCACCTCAAAAGGTGATCAACGTGAATTTCCAGGTCCGAACTGGGCACGTGAGATTAAGGATCCTCGGGTAAAATCCCGTGGGGTTTTTCTCGGGGCACTTTGAGGATGGCCATTTTGGGGGGTAAAAGAGGGTAGAGTGGCTCCTTAGATGCCAATGGACCCGAAAAAAGGCGGGTCCATATATATATATATATATATATGTATATATTGAAGATGAGCATGGGCAACCATGAAGCACCTCGAGGTAAACATCCTGATTACCCTGGTAGCTGGGTGTGGCGCGGATTTTAGGATCCAGGGGACCGCATTTTTTGTTTTTAAGGGGGTATCATCCCACTGCTCACTGGATCCACTGGGATGTTGATCTGCCTTTGGCGAGCTTTGGGATAAAGCAAGTGACCATGATTTGGGTGTCTTTTTTGGGGGAACTCCCTATTTTGGTGGCTTCAAAGGGAAACCAAATTGAAAACCACCACCATTTTGTGGCTTCCATGAAAAAAGTCACACCGTCTGGTGGATTCTTGTTTCATTTTTGGAGTTAGTGTAATAATTTGCAGATGGGTGAGTAACAACCTCCCTTCTATTGCCTGGAAGCACTGGGTAAAAACTGCAGATGTCGATTTCTGTGCCAGATGTAGGTTTGCGCGCCAGTGCAAGAAGTGCAGACGTTTGAAAACCTGCTTTTTTTCCCCTCCTTCCAGAGCCGTTTGTTTGCCCGTCCCGAGGAAGGCATCCGGTCCTTTTCCTCAGAGCGGTACTGGGAGGGCGATGGATTCAGTGGGCCGAACGGGGTGCGGCAGACGCCGGCGGTGGAGGTGATTTTGCCCAGCGGGATTGAGGAGAACACGCTGAGCCCACCACGTACCAAACATCCCCTTTCTGGTTTGGTGGAGTGATGTTGAAAGCGGACAGAAGAGGAGCGGCCAATCGTTTTCTTTGGTTGCTTTCCCAAATCCCACCCTTAAGAAGGGTACCTTGATAAGCGACACTCACCCTTGCGAATTGCTTTCGTTTGGGTCTGGCTTACTCATCGGATTCAGAGCCATAAGGGGGGCTATTGCAGCCTGCTAGTTGGTGGCAGCGTTTGTAACCTTGGCTTTCCAACTTCTCACGGGGCATGGCCACTCCAAGCGCTGTGCGTGTTGGAGGGGAATCTTGGGGTTTAAAGCGAAAACAGGAGCCCAATCTGTGCCCCCTTTTGAGACACTCGAATCAGGGGTCCCTATATTTCTTCAACACCCGAAAAGAAGCTCGCCGCATTTACCAGGATTCTATCAATCCAAAATTCCCATTCTAGGGGAACCACGCAGGATTCCAGATATTTCCTACCGCACAGCATGAATCCCCAACGGGGCCCCTTATTGAATCTCAAGTCAATCTCACCCCAAACATAGGCTGCTCTCACCCCAAACATAGGCTGCTATAGGGGTTTGTCTTAAATGCCGGAACCCAACACAAATGCGGTTTTCCTTTTGCTTCACCTCCAACAATCAAAAGGGGGGGGGCGTCCAACTAAAAATGACAACCCCACACAGGGACGCGGCATCAGGGTCCCCCGAAAAAAAAAAAAAAAAGGAAAACAACCGGGGGGGGGGGGAAAAACAAAAGCAAAAAACGCTGCTGGTTTTGGGTCACTGGTCGTTCTTTTTTTCTTCCAGGAAGCGACGCTGCCCGGGCTCATGGGCAGCTTCGGGGGCGTGGAGCAATACGAGGACCAGGACCGGGCGCGGTTCCGGGGAGCGGGTTTTCCCGTTGCGGTTCCACTTGCATAGAATGGCGTTTGTTATTTTGCTAGAAAGGCATTTGCTGAGAAAGGCATTTCCTTAGAACGGCGTTTGCTTAGAAAGGCATTTGCTTAGAAAGGCGTATTTGTTAGTTTTCCCCTGTTGGTTTGAAAGGAAATCGATTTCACTACTGGAAATATGTTTATTTTATTGTTTTTTTTCCCGGGCAGCTGAAGCAAATGGAAGTGCGGCTCCTCATGAGAAACGACTCACTGCCGGAGTTCCCGGTGTGTTTTACTTTTCCTTGCCAGACTTAGCTCTCCTTTGGGTGGACCTATTCAGGGTGGATGGAAGCCTGATTTGCTCCACTTCAAGTTAATTCAATCTATGGAGGCCAAAAGGGAGCTTCCCCTAATCATGGTTGTTGTTGGGAAACATTTTTCATTTTTGCTTATTGTGGTTTAGTGGTTGAAATCCAACCACTTAACTTTTTGTTTAAAAGCATGTTGCTCCCCTTCCAACGTCAAGCAAGCAATGAGGTTTTATTTGGGGGGTTCAGTTGAGTACATTGATATCTCGCTGCCCCGGGCGAGTCAACCATAGTCAACCCGCTCGATTGGGCACGCATTGCCATAGCAAAGTTTGGTTTGTGGAGCCCACTCTTCCACTTTCTTGCTGGAGGTTGGGAGCCAAGGAGCTGGGGGCGACTCCATTAGACACCCCGGAGGTGGTTGGGGGTCTGAAAGCCAGACTGTTTGAAGGCCCTAAATCAATCGGGAGCCTCTGGGTTGAACGGTGTAGAAAGCTATAAGGGAGCCACTGGTACCAGGAGTTCTGCAAGGTCCAGGACACTTATCAGGACGAAAAGCGGAGTCTGGAGGCTGAATATTTTCTACTCGGGGTCGCTTCCTTGGAGAGGAGGAGCCGTCACTATGAACAACGGCTGTCCCTTTCAGCCGCTAGGGGCGAGCTTAGAGGGACAAGCTCTAGCCGCATTATCACGCGTCAAAATAGCTCAATTGCTTCCAGGAATTGGATGATAAGACCTAAAAAGGGTTGGAACGGTGCTGTCTACAAAGTTGCTCAAGTGCCTATTCAATGCGAGCTCACCTGGGGGTAGAACATGCTCACCATGATGTATGTCCTGGACTTGGGGATCCTTTATGTCAGATGGTTGTTGTGTTGGTTGTAAAGCTTACAGCAAAACTAATAACGTGTAAGATTGTAGCACCTTATATGGTGCCTCCTGTTAAGGAAGCCCTTGGTTCTTGCGTTTTCCTTTCCGCAACCATCAATCCAACCCCCCAACCACCGACTAACATGGAAGTGCACAGACCCCTGTAGAAAGACGACTTCCTCTGGGAAACGATGGAAAGGGGGTTTGTGCACTTCCATGGTAGTTGGTAGGGTATCAAGTTTGTCCCCAAGAGCCCCGAGCCGACACCAAGATAGGATCGCTTCTTTATGCCGGCGCTGGACCGGCGCCGAGATCAGGACGCATGCTCAGGGTGACTAAGGTGTCTTAACACGCAGATCTGGGATCTGACCATTGCTTTCCTATTTCCGGGTGGCTCAATAGCAGAATTGAAGGGGGAAGAAGGGGGGTGCACTAAAAGGTGGCTAAAAAGGGAAACACGGCAAGAACAACGCTTTACCTCCTGGAAAATGGGGGAGGGGGGTGCCCTAAAAAGTGTTGTGATGAAGGTCTCTTTCCCCCTTCCAATGAAGAGTCCAATGATGCTAGGGTCCAGATCTGGGAACCCCGTAAGCATGCAGGGGAGGTGGTTGTTCTTTTCGTTCCACTTTCAAAGCTGAAAAGGCACAATGGACCCACCTCATCAGGACATTTAAGGGCACCTGTTTGTGGCTATCGCCCCAGACTAATTTTCTATCCAGCTGGACTCTTAGTTGAGAGTGTTACAGGCCATGGGACACGATCGATGTTTGCTTCCAGCTCAGAGATCTGTACATGTTCGTTTCAAACATTTGAACTGGAAACCAGATCTATCATTTCGGTTTGAAAGGGAAACCCAGTTTTGGATTGTGACTCAGCTTGCCTCTGCAGCCAAACCGCCTCGGGGAAGAGCCGTCGGCAGGAGCTCTTCGGCGACGTCATCTCCCGCATCCTCTCCCAGCCCCCCGGCGCCGCCTCACGCTCCGGCGGCTTTGGCGGCGGAAGTGGCGCGGTGAACGTGGCGGAGCTGAAGGCGGGTTGCCGCGGGTCCCTGGTTCGAGTCTTCCACCATTTGCTGAAGAATAGGTTTTTGTTGGTTTTTCCCTTGTTGAATTTAAAAGGAGTTCATCACTATATATATATATATATATTATTTTTTTCCAGGGGACTTAAGCAAATGGAAGTCTTCAAAATGCTGAAAGCCCTACCTCCTGGGAGGTTGGGCTCCTGGCAGGTCCGGTTTTTGAAGATTACTGGGAATATGCTTGCCGCGTTCAGCAAAAAATAGGAACCTCCCAGGAGGTACCACTCTTCCAGGGTTTGATTCCCCGTTCTTTTCAGCCATCGTTATTTTCAAAAACCAGCCATTTTCCACGGTTTTGGTGGTTTTCTAGACAGAAGGATCCCTGGAAAGAATGGGGAAGTTACCCTAGAACTCTCCTCAAAGGCGCCTCCTGGCAGGTGGTAGGTTTTCTACCAGAGCTGCTTGTTTTTCTTTGTTTCTTGGTGTTCTTGTCGGTTTTCTTGCTGTTGTCTGGGCTTTGCAAAATTGGTTTCGTTGGGAGTTGGGACAGTTCCACACTTTTGGGGGGTACCTCACAATAAGAGAGTGTCCAAAGAAAGCAGATCCTGACAAGCCCAGAGATTGTCAAAACACATTAACAAAAAAAACACGATCCCGCAGACTCTTCTATTTAAAGTCCAACTAAACGATTGACACGGATCTCCTGCGAAATTGAAATAATAATCCCAGTTAATATATTTGTGAACTTATTCTTAAACAGGAAGTGCTTTCCTAATTCCAGATAGAACTATAATTTCCGCTAGAATTATATTCAAAATATATTTGAAAGATTGAACTAATCCTTCTGGGAAAGGAACACCACATGAAGGAATAATTTGAAACAATATTTCTAAGCAGATTCTAATTGAATCTTGTTTAAACAAGGAAATCCTATTCAAAATCTGATTCAAGCTGGAATGTCTACTATAATCCCGTCCTCATTAAATGCTCATTCAAACACATCATCCTGAATTTCTGAATTGCAAAGGCTCAGTATGGTTCAAGTAGAGTATTGAGATGAGATGATTGACACCAAAACGGATTCAGTATTTGTCAAGTAGAGTTGCCAAGTTATTCAATGCAGCTTTGGTAGGCGGTGTTGTTGATGGTGTTGAAGCAGACTACCCAGATGATGTGGGACCAAGTTGACATGCAAATATCATTGGAAGTAATTGCCTTGTAGAAAGCCCAACCTCCTGGAGCTACCACACTCTCAAAAGCACCGCCGTTGTTGAGAAACGGGAAAACCCACATTTCGGTGGGTGGTTTGAACAAGTGTTGATACTCAGTTTGGTTTCCCAAGGCAGACTGGGGGGATTTTGGTTGCAACCAACCCAGGAGCAACAGCGCCTGGTGGGGCAGAGGGCGGAGCATTTCTACAGCCGCTCGGATCGTACAGCCTCCAAGAGCCCGGTGCAGCTGAATAGCCCAGACACCAGTGGAACCAGTGGGGCACAAGATGCGACAGGACGAACATGGAACCCTAAAAAGCACATCTCAGATGGTAGAGAGAAATTCGAAAGCCCCGAGATGAGTTTCCAGGCGATGTGCAAAGCACTTCAGCTTGACTTCAGCTTTCCCAGCCTCGCTGTTCCCATGCATTTTAAATGTTGGTGTGTTTCTGTTCATTTCGGTGCCCGGAAAAGGAGGGTGCAGAAGAGCACGTTGCTAGCAGACCGAGGGGTTGAACGCCTGAGTAGTATTGGCTCACTTGCCCAAGGCCGATTTTGAGGTGCGCAAGAATCAGTGAGTTGTTTGCTAACATAACATACCAATCGAAGGCAGTTTCAGGTGTTATGGAGGTATGGAGGTTATGTGTATACATATATATATATAGGTATGTATGTCACTGATGCAAGACCTATATACTGTGTTTACAAATATACATATATATATGTACATATATATATATATATGCACATATTCGTACAGCTACAGCCCATACCTGAAACTGCAGCCATGAGTTGAGGTTGCTTCTTGGCGCAAGTCTTCGGGGATGCCTACAAGCCATCGCGGGATTGGGTCTCCTCGGCCAGGCGATTCGATTCGAAACGAAAGAAAGAGGACCCGTTTTTTGTTTGTTGTGGCGGGGCTTTCCCGTTAAACAAAGCAACTGCCAAGAAAGGGGCTTCAATTTATGTTGTGTTTTTTGGTTTGGAGGGGAGGACCTTCAAATCCAAGTACCAAAAGAGCCGACTCCATGAAACGCCACTCGGGGGTGGCGGGTCTGGCTAAAAGCATGCCTCACTCGCTGAGTTCCTGGACTGTTTGCTTTTGGTGACGAGCATTTTTGTGGCAGACAAACCAATTTAACTGGCTTCGGCAAGTCCAAGAGCGCTTGGTCTATTTTGCAACAACCTCCTCTACGGTATTTGCCTTGTTTAAGGTTTGTGCCTCCGCGGAGGGGGAACGTGGCTGTGCGTGTGCGCGCGTGTGCGTGTGTGTGCGTGGGCATACGTTTCCGTTGAGGGTACCTTGTTTTTCCCGGTTGGCTAATATAAAGTAAAACCAAGAGGAAAGCCACCATGTGACCTTGCAACTTATCCGCATGCCAATATTTTTCAAGCAAAGGTGTGCTCAGGGAAAAGCGCTTGCTTAGTTTCGCCAGGCTGAGTGTGTTCCCGGGAACACGGGGCACGGATGACGCGGCCGGCTTCGACTTTATGCTACTCGCCTGCAAGCGTCTCACTCGATTTCCATATGCTCCCCCCAACACCTGTCTCGGCGATTGTAGCAGGTTGTTCTATTAATGTTGAGCCCATATTTATCAATCCCAGTTTATAAATAGAACCGTGTTCCCCTCCAAACGTGATGATTCCCCACTAAACCCAAGGACACTCCTATTAATAAACTGGGGTTGATTAATATGGGGTCAACAGTACCTGGTGGCTGGTCTGGGGTTCCAGTGTGGTCGACACAAAGCTATGCATCTTGGCAGATCTCAATGGGTTTTGTGCGCATGTGAAGTCCGGTCACATTGTCCAGCAGCGGTGAATCCAGGAGAGATAAGGAGACAATTTGATTTCCATGCGCTGGGCAACAGCTGATTTCGATCATGGCTATGGGTATCACTTTTGTTTTGAGAGGACCCTTTTGGGTTTGAACAGCTCATATACGAGCCTCGGACCAAATTACTTGTTTCCCCAGAGTGGCAACAGTGGGTGCGCCCCAAGTTAGTCTGATAGTGAATCGCCGCGGAAAGCTCCAATATGTCAAAAGGTAGATGCTTAAAGGTCAAACAAAACACAATCTGCCAAAGTATAGAAGTTCAACTTATCAAAATAGGAAGCCCCACAAAAAGGTCATGGAAGATGCCCCAAAATACAAGAGATGGAAGAAGCACACTGCGCAGCCGCAGGGCCCACTTTACTTGGCTCCTCTTCAGTTCGACCTGCGTTTTGGCCCTCTGAACAATGACTGTTTCCCTGTGTAGTTGTAAGAGGGGAAACACGAGGACCCACCCCATTGCCTTAGTTGCTTCCGTTGTTGTTTTCGAGTTGGTACCCATTGGAGTCTTCTCCAGGGGGTCCAGGACGCACTAAACTTCACACTCCTTTTCTGGCAAGTTTGCTCCGAAGCCCATGACCAAATCCTCGGCAGCTGCTTGCTGAAAATGGCCTGCCAAACGTAACTTGCTGGGAATGAGCAATGGAGTGACCCCGAAGTAAACCATCCAACCGGTTTCCTTTAAGGGGACCCTGGGTTCATTCCCACATTCCCTACGGAGCACATGCAAGTTAAACTTTTCTCGGCCAAATTTCGGCATGGGGAAAAATGAGCGTCACGGGTGCGACGCCACCCAAAGTGATGGTTCCTCTCTTGGCGGTCCCTGATTTTCGCTCGGCGGAATCATGATAATTTCCCTACAGATTATCATGGAACTCCAGAAAACGCCATTCTTAGAGCAAACTCCTTTTGGAGGATCCTTTTTTTTGTTGGTTTCATCTGAATTTGTAGGGCAGTAATTTCCCAGATGGCTGTGGGTCAAAACTAATGGAACCATGTCATGGTTGGTAGGTGAATTCACCACTCATTTTAGAACTTATTTTAGTTGCGATTGGGATGTTCACTGGGGGTACGATTTGGATTTTGCCCCATGCCCAGTTCAAAAAAGGCGGAGTCCCTTTAATTAAAAACCAACAGGGGAAATAAACATAGTAATTTTGGCAAATGGAGTGAGGAAAACATGGGTGTGGCTCAGCAATAATTTTCCCAGATCACACCTTTGATACAGTCCGCTGAGCTGAGCTGCCGAGGATCGTGGACACGGCCCAGCACATCGCCCCCAGCCAGGGGAAGAAGTCCACAAGGCGAGTTCCTGAAATTTTGGCGCCCCTACTCAAGACTAGGTCCCCCAGAAATTCGTGGCTTATCTAACCCCTTGTTTGGTTGGGAGGGTTCCCCTACCAAAATAGACTACAGAAAAAAGGTACCCTTATTCAAGATTCGTTTTGTTCACGAATTTGCTGCAGTCATGGAAGTACCCGGTTTGTTTCAGGGCAAAGGTTTTTGCAAACCTTTATCGTAAAGACCTTTTTGGGAGTCAGGGTTGTTGACAAGTTCTATGCATGCTGGGGTATTTGCACTCTGAGTGTTGGTGATGACTTCCATTTGCTTTTTGTTGTCCCTTGGCTTTAAAGGGAATCTACCACTGGACATACGTTTTTTCAGGAGGCTTATTCGCAAATGGATGTTCAGGAAGTTTCATAGTCCAGTCTGAAACCGAGCACAGTGGTCCGGGTTCGGCTGGTGAACCCTTGGCCTCCAGGCGTGTTTTCTGCGAGCGGTGCAAAAAAATGGGTGAGATGAAAACGGGAAAACCAGACTCCAGGGTTCCCTTGGACACATACCCATTTCAAACCATGCCGTTCCGAAGGCCAAAGAATGGGGTACTTTGACCTCGGATCCCCACAAGGGGATATCCGATCAACGTCAACCAGCAGTCAATCTGGGGTGCCCTGCGGTACATTTGTTGGGGTTCCCTTTTTTTGACAGATACCCGTGTTAAACACATATCCTTCAAGAGCTCCTTACATGGGACGACCATTGGTTTGGAGATCCACTAAAAAGATGTTAGATATTTCAACCACGTGGGAAAAGCAACCCATCATGGCCGGGGGCTGTCAGGGAAGGTTGATCAACCTCCAAATAACGTGCCAACAAAACTGGGGCATTGCTTTGCCACATGCCAGGTGCTTCATCGAGGTGAAGGGCTGCAGCGGTGCCTTTGACGGGACCTTCTGCCTTAGCGCCAACGAGCAACGGAAGCGCGACCAGGCGGTCGAGCGGAGAAGCGAAGACGGACACGGCCAAAGATAGACGGGTGTGTGTGTGTGTATTTTGCTAGGGTCTCCTCCAAAACTATTTCAGATATTTCCTGGTAGACCAAATATGAACCCGATTTGCGCAGATTCTAACAGTATATGTTTCTTTGTACAACCCAGCGTGGGCCAAAGTTTTAGTCGGTGCCTTGTGTAAAGGGAAACCGAAGGTCACGTCTTGTTGTGAGGGTAACTGCCTTTTCTTCTATTTTCTTGGCGGGGGGGGGGGTGGTCAGAAAGGAAAACCAAAGGGAACCGGTGGGTGTGTAAGGGTGTGTGTGCGTCTCAAAGATTTTTGCCAGGAAATGGCTTCGGTTCTGGGTTTTTAAACCAACCTGAGAAGGGCATTTGTATGGGACATCTTTCTGGGGAATTTATGGTGCCCTTTCAACGGGGGCCTTTACGAGTGGTCTCCTTTGCATTTAATTTGTTCAATGGTTTCTTCCCCACAAAACTCGGGGTCAACCTGCTTTTGGTCCACTTCCTTTTTCGACCAGGACCACTATGCTAGGCCGGACACAATAGCAACATTGGCAACCTAGGTGGAACATCCATGGGATTTGGGGCAATTTGGGGCAGCTTTATAACCAGGGTCCCTGTCCCCTGTCCCCTTTTGGGAAATCTTAATCAGCTGAGCCACAATCAATCCGGGATAGATGAAGGTTAGTAAGGGACAGTCCCAACCAGACTTAGGTGCGGCTGCCTTTGGTTCGGGTAGTACTCCATTTTAATAAGACTAGGTTTTCATTTTGCCCAAAAAGGAAACCAAAAAGAAAGCCAAAAGGAAACCCTTGCCATTTTGGGGGGGGTCCCCTAAAAACAGGGAACTCCCATGTGTCCCCTTTTCAGGGGCTCAATCACCTTTCGGTGGAAAGCCCCCGTTTTGCCCACCCCCCCCGCTTTCAGGTGGCTGCCATCAAGTCAGAGGCCAATGCCTACGTCATCGCCGTTGCGCCGCGGCACCGAGAAGCGCTCAGAACCAAACCGCTGGATCTCCATACCATGCGAGCATTTCGGAGGGGAAATGCTGTGGATGAACGGAATCCTGCACCACTCTGGGAAATTACCGTTTGTGTTATTTGTCGGGGAATCATCATTCCAGCGTTTCTTAGGTGCACAGTATCAAACAGAACCTGAAAATCGTTGATCTCCAAGCCATGATGTGTGAACATTTTGGAGGCGATATGCGAAACCGAGCCCTGAAATCGTGCCTCAGCTCGCCAATGGCCAATGACCAGTGTAATGGAGATAGATTAATCAAATGCCTCCAAATTAGTCCAATGTTTGAAACTTACAAGTTTCTGCTGTTTTTTGGTTACAAAACGACGAAAACCATCCCTGATGATTATCATGGTTTCCTTTATTCGGAATTCCCTTCCGCTTCATACCCAACACCCGGGCTGGGTCATTCCCTGCCTATCGCACCAGCAACCCAGGGTTGAAGGTCAAGATTTTGGGGGTTCGTCGAAGCCCTGGTTTTTCTGGGTACGCCCAAATATGCCCTTATTCTGCCCTTAATAAGACCTTATTCTGGGGCTTATTTGGTCTCCCTCCCCCTTCCCTCCCTCCTCCCCAGCCCCCATGAGTTGACCGGCCAAGCCCAGGTGGACAACATGGACACCTTGGAGATGGCCTCCATTCGCCACTTCCTCTGGAGCGAACTTCCGCAGCTGCTGCGCCTGGCAGCTCGCTCCGGAGAAGAAAAACAAGAGACGGAGCTCGGAGACGGGGGCATTGTCTTAAAGTTAGGCGTTGAGGCCTCTAGAAAGGACACTCCAAAATATATCCATGCAGATGTTTTTTTTCTTTTTTCTTTTTTTTTTTTTTATGTGTGTATATAAACATATACATATATATATATATATATAGATATGCAACTATGTATATATATATATATATATGTTGTTTAGCTGCCTGGTGCCTGAACACCTTAAACCCTTGAGCCATGTTGAAAAGCGATGGTAGCTCACTCCTAGGGTTGCTGGATTTTGGGGAACATGTTCCGATTTGTATTCAGGAAGTGAGTGTTTGGTTGAGCTCTCTGGTTGGGAAAGGAAGAAGACCCCAAAGACACCCCAAGGACACCTGGTCCTTTGTGGTTGACATTATGCCGGTTCAGAGCCAACTCACAAGAGCCATGGCAGCCCAACAACGTGAAGGTTGGTCACCAATCACTACTTGACACGAAGGACATATGGCTTTGAATCAGTGTGGGAGTTTCGTTGACCCCGTCAGGAAACCCTAACACTGAGCGTTTGAGGAAGCCCTCATGCCCCATGCTGGGCTCTCAGATTATAATTCACATTTACATGTGTGCAACATATGGGTATGTGTCAACATTGGATTTGGCACCAACACGGGTGGTTTTCCTTTGCACTGTGAAGGGAACTCGAGCCCCCCCCCGTTGAACCAACCAAACAAGGGTGGCCTCATAAAGCACGCACCCATATATGGGAGTGTCCTGTTTTCAGGGTGCCCCTTTTTGTTAGTTTAAGTTTTCAAGGGATCCAAAAGGAACCCCCCACCAGTTCAGTGGGTCCCCTAAAAAAGACACACTTGTATGGTTGCCAGAATCTGAAGGTCGTATTTCGAGTATTCCTCGGAGGCCGTTTCCATGTCCATGTTCATACGTTTGCACCTTTTGAGATGGTTTCTGAGAGGTGAAACGGTGAATCCATATGCCTTGATAGAAAGTGCTTAAGCTTTGACTTTCTTGCAAGCCCGTAGTTAGCGAGCTAAAAATTTAGTCGTCCCAATCTGAGCCGTATCTTATCTTGGTCCCCACTTGTCCTTTAATGTTTAGTCGATTCGACGCTTTGACGTATCCGAGTGGGAGCCATATACTATGTTCCATTTCCACCTCCGTTCATTCTTTGGCACAGGCACCCACAAGGGGATCACCTTTTGTTCAACCTCCGGGCATTGTCAGCCCTTCCGGCTCGGCTTGATGCCCGCACCCAAGCTCCAGATTCATGGAGACAACAACCCATAGCTCACTCCCCGAGTTCCTGGACTTTAAACTGTTTGGGAGGACCAAACAATCAGTTTGGACATTGTGTTGCCCAGCAACTCAGAAAGTGAGATAGAGTAGGAGGGTAATTCAGTTGACTTCAATATCATTTTTTGTGGAGAGTGGTGTGGTTCCTTTGGCTCCCGTGTTCTCACAAAGACCATGAAACAAGGCCACATCCCTTTTTACGGTTTCGGTTGCATAAATCAGAATTCATGCTGAACCAATAGGACCAAGGAGATCATACCAGGAGTGCTTCTGTATGGATTCATACTTTCCATTATTGTTTCTAATTCTAAGGAGTACTTACGCACCAGACGGAAAATCAAGCAGGTATCCACTATGTAGCCACGATGTGTTAGTTGTAGGGCCATTTTTTTGTGTAGATATTTAATGGCCTGCGGCCTGGTTCCGCCGCCCCCACACACCTTAGAATTTCGGCCCGGGACGAGAGAAAGCACGCGATATGTAGACAGACACAGACAGACACAAAGACACGCAGACAGACACGCAGCGGGGGGGGAGGGTCTTCGCGGACACGAAGACAGACGCAGATGCGCAGGCAGACGCAGACAGAGCCAGACAGACACAAATACACAGACAGACACGCGGGGGGGGGGGGACACGAAGAAAGACGCAGATACGTAGACAGACGCAGACAGACACAGACAGACACAAAGAGACAGAGACAGACACGCAAGGGGTCTTCGCGGACACGAAGACAGACGCAGACAGACCCAGACAGACACAAAGAGACACAGACAGACACGCAGGGGCAGGGGGGGTCTTCGCGGACACGAAGACAGATGCAGATACGTAGACAGACATAGACAGACACAGGGGGGGGCGGAGGGGTGGGGGAAGACTACCCGAAGCCTAGGGAAGAAGCCCGAAAGCACAGGACACGCGCGTTGTTTGGTCCCGAAACAGTATCGGAAGACTAGGAGAAGAAGCCGGAAGATTACGGAAGACTACGGGAAGAAGCCGAAAGATTGCGGAAATTTACGGGAAGAAGCTTGAAAGATTTCGGAAGACTACGGGAAGAAGCCGGAAGACTACGGAAGACTACGGAAGACTACGGAAGGGAAGAAGCCGGAAGACTACGAAAAACTACTGGAAGAAGCCGAAGATTACGGAAGATTACTGGGGAGGGTGGAGGGGGGGTGGGAGGGGGGGGGGGAGGGGGGGGGGGAGGGGGGGGAGGGGGGGGAGGGGGGGGGGGGGGAGGGGGGGGGGGGGGGAGGGGAGGAGGGGGAGGGGGGGGGTGGGAGGGGGGGCTGGGGAGGGAGGGGGAGGGGGGGGGAGGGGGGGGGGGGGGGGGTGAGGGGGGGGGGGGGGAGGTGGGGGGGGGGAGGGGGGGGGCAGGGGAGGAAATCCAGAATTCCAGAAATCCAGAGATCCAGAAATCCAGAGATCCAGACATCCAGAAATCCAGAAATCCAGAAATCCAGCCGACGTAGAAACCAGCCCCAAGGCCCCCCCCAACCTACATATAGGTTATATATATATATATATATATCTATCTATCTACATAATCATATTCACATTAAACTTGTAGAAAGCATATCAACAAAAGCAACACAGAACACACCGCCCCCATGCCGAAAGCATGGTCCATTCTGGACCAGGCATGGGGTCGGCGGATTTGCACGATTTCTCCCTTGGCATGGAGGACGTGTGAGACGCGTGCTTTGGTTGGCAAATTGGTCGGCACGTGAGGAACCAGACTCCTTCCTGGCCACTGTGGATGTGGCCAGCGGCCAAGTGGTGTCCCGAAGCTCGTCCCAAGCGCTTCGCCGCGAGGAGCTGCAGGGGTTCGCGGGAGGTTGCGGCCGCCGACCAACCGTCGGACCGTGTTGCAGCCGGTCCAGAAATTTGACACACTAAACGTTGTGCATGTTTTTGGCAGGGGATCAGTTTGAACAGCCCAGAAGGTTGAGAACTGTTCAGCGATCCAGTTGGTAGGTGAGATAAGCATGCCTAGGCCCCCCAGTAGTGCCCTGTCCCCCTTTTTTTTGGCGGACGTCTCTACTAAAATAGACTACAGAACAAAGGGTGCCCTTATTCTCACCTCTCTGACTGGAGGACCTACTAGATCTGCCATGCAGTCTTCCCTTGGGGCTTCCACCATCCCAAGTGCTGCAGGATCTTGTCCGGGAGCCATGGTCAGGTTGTCACCATTAGTCACGTTACGCCACGTAGCTCCAATTACTCCCCTGAAGAGGCTCTGATTCACATTTTGACCATGGCATATATTCACAGTTCCCGAGTTTATGAACTTGATACTTTCTGAGAAGGCCGTTCCGGCGAAGATCAAGTTTGGGCTTGTTGGGCCATTTGCTCAGAAAGTGAGTCTGAAACCAACCTCAACTTGGTGGCTCCCAGCCATCCCCTTAGCTTTTTAGCCTTTTAGTGTTTAGTGGTAGTTTGCGTTTGACCCACTAAAACTTAAACTTTTAGCAGGGGATCTGAGGGCAGCCCAGTCAAGTCCAGTGCCTCTATCAACGCAGGAGCCGGCTCACCCGCAGCCGCGTGAGCCCGCTCGCCCAGAGCCGCGGCTCGAGCCGCGGCGACCGCAGCGGTGGGAGCGGGAGGAAGGGAAAGGCTGGGGCTGACGCGGCGCTTTGGTTTCACTCATTTGCCGACCTGTTCAGTTGGGTGTACAGATGATTGGCTATTGGATGGACAACCAGAAGGATTTCTAGCCATACCCCCCCCCCCCGGTTCAGGGATCCTTCATTTCCTTTCCAGCTGAGATGGGAAGGATAAACTATCTTCATCAGTTTTGCAAAGGCTGTTCTCGGGAACCAATGTTTTTTGACTAGCCCGGCGGGGCTTAAACCCTGGTCAGGCGGCTGGGTGGTGGGTGTACTCGTAGGTTGGTTGGTTTGTGTGTTGGGTGGCCGCTTCCCCAGCATCCCCGGTTACTTGGTGTTAGAGCTTTGTATTGGCCGTGATTTGGTGGCAGTTGAGAGTTGCTCGGGTTAAAGTTTCCACAAATTTTCCGGCAAGTGGTTTGAGCAGGTTGGCAAACAGTTTGGAAAACCACCTGCGCAAACTGTTGGAACAGTTGAGCTTTTGGAACACGCCTTGTTACTTTTATGTGCTTCTTCTTGGGTATCGTGGGAACACGACCAATGCCTGGCACAGCCAGACCGTCCCGAACTTGCGCAAGTGGGGTCTGATTTTGATATTTGAAGGCCAACACAAATCGATCGATCAGACCCTCAGGGTGGTAGAGCCAACTTGAGTGTTCAACCTATGGCAGGAAAAGTGGATATAAGAGATCTAACCCCAGGCACTTTAATCATATCCATGATTGCAACTTACTTTTTGCTGGCCTTGTTCGTTCACCAAAAGTCACTCGCAAGGGCTTACAGAGGAAACAGTCTACCCCCCCAACCCCAAACATAAGTGGGGGGCGTTTATGAATTTAATCAGGGTCAGCGTTGAGTGGGTCGAGCACCCAAGTGAGCATCGCAAAACCTGCCAGAACCATTTTGAGAGGTGGTTTTACTACTTGGTTTAGTACGAATTATGGTACGGCCCAGACCCTGCCAGTAGAAGCAGCCGAAAATGGGTGAGAGCAGCTCAAGAGAGAAATCCCACCGAGAGAAAAGGAACCCCGGACCTCTGTTCAGTGGGGTTTACTTCAGCGGTCAACATTTCAGGGTTGTGGGATCATTCGGGGTTTCTCCCCACTTCTGT